AAGGGGGAAGAAGGGGGAAGAAGGGGAGGGGAGGGAGGGGAATGAGGGAAGAGGAGGGGGGAGGGAAAGGGGGAAAGGACGACAAAGAAAAGGAAGTCACGAAACGCACATGTACACTACACGTGCAGGCACGTGCGAATTTTTTCTTTTTTTTGTGTGTGTGTGTGCACAAGCACACGCATACAAGTAGACAGATAAGCAGGCATGTAGACAGACAGATAGACAGGCAGATAGGGACACGACAGACGAACAGACAGACACATAGACAAACAGAATAGACAGACAACACATACAGTCAACAATCCCAACAAACCCAACAACAGCCCGGCAAACATACACAAACTGACATACCGACATACACACCCCTACCTGAACACGGAGGGCCCCTCGTTCATGCGCTCCTGGTTCCCGTCCACCACGGACCTCAGCTCCTGCTCCAGCTCCGGAACCGCCTCAGCCGCTGGAGGGGCGTCTCGCGGGGACCACAGCCGGATGACGTTCTCGATACCGCTGGTGGCCAAAACAGGCAACGTGGGGTGGCACTGCGGCGACGGGTGCCGGCAAACAGGGTTAAGAGTTAGGTAGGTAATTAGTAGGTAGTTAGCCAGGTAGGTCTATCGTTAGGTAGTTATGCAGGTAGTTGGTTAGTTAAGTATATACTTACAGGTGAACGGACCGGGTGGTGGTTTGGGTGCCGGGCGATGGAGGACAACATGAGGCAGCGACCGCTCCTCTTCATCTTCCTCCTCATCCTCGTCTTCCCCTTTCTCCTCCTCCTCCTCCTCCTTGTCCCACTTCCATGAATTCTTTTCCCCATTACACGCACATACATACAGACTATATGGCAGGCGGCTGGCAGAGGTTAAGGCCTGACTTCTGCTCCCGGCCGACCCGGGTTCAAATTCGCCTGCCGTCCTCTCGGGTATTTGAGAGGTGATGAAATGGCAGGTGGCCCCCCATCTTGTGGGCGGTGTAGGACGTGATAACATCAACTTGCGAGCTGACCAGGAACTAAGTTGATGCACCGTTCATCCGCTAGATTTGGTTGGATGCTGGTGGTGAGTTGCTGAACCCAACGAATACACTCTGAAGTCGGATGGGGTGAATGGATTTGGGTGCCCCTCTCGCAGGGGAGAGCAGAGACTGCCTCGGGAAAGGGGGCCGCTGGCGAAGTTAACCACCCTGTAACAACATACATACATACATACATACAGACAGACAGACAGACAGACAGACAGACACCCACCTGCACACAGTTGGCGACGTCCTCATCCGCTGCTAGGGCCCGCAGTACGGCACCCGTGTCGGCATCGTACAAAAACACCCTGCCACAATCGCTGCCTGCCGCTACCACCCGGTCATCGCAGCCAATGAAGTTGACCTCCTTGATGTCTGTGTGGGCAGTAGCAGTAGCAGTAGCGAGAGTAGGCGCAGTAGCAGTAGCGAGAGTGGGCGCAGTAGCAGTAGCAGTAGCGGGATCGTGAGTGGTGGGTGCGCGGTGCACTGAGGGACCTCAGGAGCGCCTTTGGAGTCCGATCCGTCGTCCGGAGAGACCCAACCAACCACCGCCAACCAACCCCAACCGACCCACCGGTCTGCACATTGCATTGCCCAACGTATCTCTGAAGCATCCTCCGTCCACCAGCACTGCCATACCAAGCCCCCCCAGGCATGTGCCGTACTGAAGCTGTAGCCGTAGCTGTCAAATCCACCTGGCTGCTGCCGTACCGCTGCCCCCCACACTGCCCCACCGTGGCGGCAGTAGCATGTCGGCACGAGGAGGGCGTGGGGGTGCTGCTGCTGCCGCCGCCATTACCGTTGCTACTGCTGGTGCTTCCTAGCAACTCCATAGCACGTGCGTAGCTGTACGGCAAGTGCGGCAGGGGGCAAGGATAAGAAATCAAAAAGGCGACCAAGGAGGGGGGGTTGCATTTTTTTGTGGTTGGGTAATGTAGTGGCGTGAATCCATGCGTGCATACATACATGCACACATGCATACATACATACGTACATACATGCATATATAGGGAAAAAGGGAAGGAGGTTTCCGATCGGGAACGATGGAAAGGCGGCATACAGCAAAACACACAAATCGATGACACGGCGACATGCATTCACATACACACATACAGCACGACGACAAACACGGCGTACGGCGACTCACTACTCCAAAAAGGGCTCCAAATCCGGATCCTCCTCGCTGGCTTCTCCTTCCATGGACATCACATCCGAATCGCTGTCGTACTCGATGTCGGACCGGCTGTCCAGCAGCCCCCGCGCCGTATCAGCTGCCGCCACCTCGTCCTCCCCTTCGTCGTCGTCTGACGGATCATCGTCATCATCATCATCATCACCACCATCATCGTCCATCGAACCAATCCTGGTGCCGTCCACCACCCCCGTCGCCTCCGTCCTCTCCGTCCTCTCCGTCGCCTCCGTCCTCTCCGTCCTCTCCGTCGCCTCCGTCGCCTCCGCCGCCTCCGTCGCTTCCGTCCCTTCCGTCACCATGCAGTCTTCCGCCGCCGCACCACCCTCGGCATCCGCCAGACACACGTCCTCCAAGCCGCCATCCGCCGTTTCCTGCGGACGTGGCGGACCCACCAGGACCTCCTCGTCGTCCGCCGCCGCCGCTGCCGCCGCCGCCGCCGCCGTCGCGGCCGGCTGCGACAGCTCGGCGACGACATCATCGCCCGCCGCCGCCGCCGCCGCTGCCTGTCTAGCCGCTGCCGGCTCGGACAACCCGTCAGGAAGATCCACGGCGGCGGCGGTGGCGGCAGCAACGGCGGTAAAAGGACGCTTAGCCGGTAAGCCGCCGCCTTCCTCGTGTACGGCAGCGGGACTGCGTTGCCGTACACCATTCAACGCGGCAACGGCAGGTGATACCCCTGTACTGTTGCCGTTCGAGGGCCCTCCTGGCGCTTGTCTACGGAGCGGATCACCTTCACTGCCTTCTTGATCATCAACGTCAACGTCGACGTCAACGTCAACGCCAACGTCAACATTCATTGCATTGGTCTCTAACCGGGCCGCCGCCGCCGCCGCCGCCTCTCTGGCCTCCACAACTCCTGCAGCGGCGGCCTCTGTGCTGACGTCATCGCCGCCGCCGCGGCCCCCGACCCGGTTCTTCCACACGCCAGCGCGCCGCTGTACGGGTATTCGGTTGGCGGCGGCAGCGGTGGCGGCGGGATTGTCAGCGGCGTCGGCCGTTGCCGGCTGTGGCTCAGAGTCTTGTCGCGCTTGCGGCGGCGGCGGCGGCGGAAATGTACGAGCTGCCGCCGTCGTCCTTCTAGGTGTCCGTGTCAGAGCCTGAAGCGTCCCGAAAGAGGCGCCCAAGAGGTGGGCGTACGAACATTGCAGATTGCAGTAC